CCGCAGTTGAAGAAATTTTAGAAAGCAATTTTCTTAATTTTGTTTTTACAGACTTGTATAGTTCACTTGATTCATGTCTTCTCTGAATAGAATCAATTACCTTATATGCGCCATATGTAGCCATTGCACAGATCAGAATCATAAGAAGAGAAATTGCTGTGGCAATGCACATATCTGGAAGAGAAACACATCAAAATATTTGCACATAAATTCAGAGGTTCAGTTATTTTGCTGTCTCCAAGGGCAGGGTGGGAAGTGGGTGGAGATGGGGTCAGATGTATCAATCAGCCATTGCTGAAGGAAATCTGGCTCTTGCAGGAAACTTCCTAAATATGAGAAGCACAGACAGTGATGACACTGTGCAAGCCTCTGCAGCCTCTATGAGGCTGTGGAGATGCAATGAATGGTTTAATTTTTCTGAGGATTTTCAAAAATCACAAGCAGTCTTCACAAGAAGACTATTTTGCCAGTGATGATGACATCTGTAGTCAGAAAGTGTCCACTTTTCTGCACTACAGATTGGTTGTTCACTAGTAGCTGCTGCATACCATTGCTCACTTATCTCTAAAAAATCTGAAAAAAGAGAAACGAATTTTTAAAAGCAGGTACAGGCATTTTAGAGCAGAAATAACATCTTGGAAATTTTTGGTTTTAACCAAGAATACTACAGAGGTATACAGTTCATTAATGAAGACATATAACTCTCAGGAAAGGTGAAGTAGCAAAGGAAGGAAAATATTCTTTAAAGTTTTGATTGAATTAATTACAGGACTCCTATCTTTTTCTTCTATTGACACTCAGCTTTCAATTAACTTTCCATTAGATTTACAAAGTTCCTAAGCCATGAACAGGTAGAAGTTGCTCCTGGGGGAAAAAAAATTACATATGTTTAGTCTTTTTGTACCTCCCTTTATATCATTGCAGGCCATAGTCAGGATACCAGAAGTGTATTTCTGAACCTGACCTTATAGTGAGTTTGGGAACACAACTGAACATTGCAACTACTTTTCCAAGGCTAAGCTAGTGCACAGGAGAGAGAGGACATGAGGTAGAAAGGACATGACTTTAGAGATCCCACCTCTGTCAGTATCTGTGAGGTATTTGCTGTTTGCTGATTTAGCACTTAAGGACATGGTGTAGCTGGGAACTGTCAGGTTAACGGTTGGACTAGATGATCTTCAAGGTCCTTTCCAACCTAGTTGATTCTGTGATTCTGTGTTCCCATTACTGTTACCAGGCGCATTTAAACTATGCATCTTGATGAGATATTTGGTGGACTTGAGACACACAAATACATGATGGTGTTCAGGCTGTTCCCTACCCACCACTGCTTGACTTTGGAGACATTCAAGATGCCTCCATTTGATCACAGGGCTGCCACAACATCTAACTCCAGCACATGATGAGGAGCATCCCACATCATGGGATGGTCCCTCCACTTCTCTGGCTGCAACAAAATGAAGTTCTGAGTAGGTGCCCTGGAGCCTACATCAGAGTGCCTGAAAGGTCCTGAATGGTGGCTGTGAATAGGTTGCACCTACAACCACCAGGTCACAGCTGAAAAGGAAGGACAGACACTAAGTCTTGTCTATCATTTTTTCCAGCCTACCATATGATCATCCATGTAAAAGACAAAGGACCGGGTCCTTGATCCTCCTCTGTGTGAAGGAACATGAACTTTGCAGTAGTGCAGAGGTCCTGCTGGCAATAATCCAGATTTCTGCTGGCCTTTGATGCAGAAAAGAACTTGAGACTTCTGAAGCTGGTGGGAAAATGAGCAAGAGAAAACTGTTGCTGGCTTTTGAGGGCATCTCCAGAGTGTGCTTATGTACATTGGGCTAAATTTTCCTTGGATACCGTGCCTACCAAAGTCAGAATTAAGGATTTAGGAACCCAGGTCTCCCATTTTCCAGGACACTGCCTGTGTTGTGGGTTTCAGGATTCTTTCTCTCTCTCTTTCTTGCCTCCAGAATTTGTCCTTGTGATTGCATAGGGCCTCAAATGCAACAGAAGAAGCCCTATAGCAGGCTCATTCCTAACCTAATGTATGGGGCCCCTCTCCTGGACATGTGGAGGAGCACATTTAAACCACTGTAGTCTGATGAGGGCCTGGAGTCCAGATGCCCTTCCAGTGAAAAGCTTGAATTTTTAACTTATTGTTATAATAAGAAGGACTCACCCAGGAGAGGCACCAACACTCAGCGCTGAGGTTAGCTGCACCCCTGTGCTCACTGCTTCCTACCTGGTGGCTTTATGCAGCTCAGCTTGTGGATGTTTGGAAATGCCATCAGGAGACAGCTGGGCTCCCTGCTCATAATTCAAGAGGGGATGACTTCTCAGTGCATCAAAAATTCCTCTTCAGGGGCACCTCCTCTTCTTTGACTGGGTAGAGAATCCAGACATCCAGCACAGGCATCTGAGCTGCATTGCCACGATCAGTCTCCAGCTTTTTAGGAGCTGTAAGGTTGTGCTGTGCCTGTTAGAAGTGATCTGGATTCTGCCCTCAAGAGGAAGAACCACCCACAAAAACACCCTGTACTAATAAAAGGTACGGAAGCCTCTTCAGACACTCTTAACTGTGCGGTCATTTGCTCTGGCTGTCCACATACACCCTGTGAAATCAAAATGATTTTGAATAGACCAAGTAAAATGGAGGTAATGAAAGAAAAGGAGAGGAGTGGGAATGGCTGCATGTAGCCACTAACCTCAATTGAAACATCTTGTAAAAGAGGCTTTTGGATCAATATTTTTATTTTAATCATCAGTTTGAAGGCACTGTACATTTATTCTGTCTGTTCTTAATCCCAGTCACCTACTCACTGTATCCAAGGGGAAGCTGCTGTCATTGTCATTTGCAGCAGATGCAGCAGTCACAGGCCTCAATTTGCTTATGACCGCAGCAGTACTGGTTTGGAGCCAGAGCTTAGCAAACTGCAATAAACTTGACATTGAAGTTCTGGTCTGACACACTTGTGCTCTCCATCTCCCATATCTCTCTAGCGGTGCTCCGCCGTGCCAAGTCCTAGTTGGCTCAAGCTGGTTCTTTCTCATTTAGGGCTTCATTGGGTTTTTTGAGCTGTGTCGGCTTCAATTAATCAGGATGAAACTAGATATGTAGCACATTAAATGAGAAGCTAAAAGGGGTGTGTAAATTTTTTTCCAGCCATCCTGTACTTTCTGTGGCATTCATGGCTAGAAGGGCTGTACTTGGACCACTGCAGTGGTTTTACTGCCTATTGTCCTAGACAGATTTTTGTTTTCTGCTTGGGTTTGAAGAAACCAGCTGGGTTTTTTGCTCTTATATCTTGCAGTGAGATCCTACCTTACTGACACATTGTGGAGAAGATGCTGCCAGGGCTGGGCAGATCTCCTGCCATGAGGTGCTTATGTGCATGGCAAGCTCTGCAGCTGGAGCTCCCTCAAACCCATCTTACAAGCATTTCCTCACTTTCCCTTCTCCTCTTGCGGAGGAGGCTGGTGGCAGGTGATGTGGGGACAGGGAAGAGCAGCCAGCAAGGCCAGTCCCTGAGCCAGGACCTGTGTGGAGTGATGGAGACCTCAAATTCTCCAGCTCATCACCTGCCCCAGGCCCAGAGTTAATCATTGGCTCAGAGCTCTGGCAGCGGGGGACAGAAAGCTGCTGATTAGCAGCCTGCAATCCTCAGGCAGTTTTGCCCACCCTCCTAGCCTCATTTATCCATCAGCCTGGCCTTCTTACTGCCAGCTAAGGATTACTGCCTCACTCTCTCCTCCAAGCTGCTTGTATAAGCTTGGTGCTGCTGCTGCCAGTCACTGTGCAGCCTCCTAGGTCGCAACACACGTGGCAGTGGCTTTTTCTCTCCACCAAAGACAGAAGGCCAATAAGAAGGAAAGAGTTTTCTGCACCTTTGAGCCCATCTTATTAACTCTAGAGGATAAGGATCGAGGGGAAGACGCAGCCCTGAATATGCTATGCTGGGGCAAGGATCTAGTTTCTTCTTCCCTCCCTCTGATATGGGGTTCATGCTACATGGGTGGTGTTGATGGATTGGGGCAGAAAGGGTACTTACTCTAGCACTTCCATTTACCCCCCAACAGAAATCCAAGCCTGCTGTCTGTAGGTTTCTTTATTAATTCTTTTCTATTTGAATTAACCTTTTTAAGCCCTGCATGCCTGTCATGAGACCATCATGTTATCCTGCCCTACCCATTTGTCTGCTGATCCCAATGTAGGGACACAGATAGATTTTGCCCTGAGCTGCCTGACATCAGTGTCAAACTTCCCCTCAGTTTCTATAGGGCACACATAGTATTTCAGTCCTTGTTGTCATAAGGCTTATGAAGTATGACACACATCTGTGACACTGTGAAGGCAGTAAATAAAACCGAGCAACACTCACTGCTTGTTGGGCTGTTAACATGTCAGAATCACAGTCTGTGTATCTGGAGAAAGTGAGCAGGAGGCTCAGGTGAAACCCTCTGGGAGGCCAAAATGATTTATAGGGCTTTTCCTTCTCCTGCCCAGAGATTATTAGTCTTTTAATAGCAGCAGTGTTACACTGGGCAGCTCACACATTTCTAATTTTCCCTAGTCCAGCTTCTAGTTCATAAACTCCCTCAGGTCCTAAGGAAATAATAAAAAGAAAGATGAGACTAAATGGGCTTAGCTGAATATCCAGCACAGGAGGAAGCCCAGCATTTTCCCCAGCTCCCAGATGTACTTCTCGGAGAGCCAGCCAAACCACACACACTGGTGTCTTCCAGTACCTCCATCTGCTGCATGGCAAGTCTTGGCAGACTTTCCTCCCCCCCATGTTTCTTTTTCTAGAATAGAAGGGAAAAGCTATAACCTACAGCTTTTTCTAAGTGATCATGGAAATCCTTTATCTGCTTAATCAAACAGGCATTTTGGAGCCTCTGGTAACACCCTGGGAACCATGCTAGATCCTGAAATTAAGGCTGAGCAGCCATCCACAGAACTGATGCTGCACTGGCATTTTCAAGCAATTTGCATTAGACAGTCTCTGGCTCTGCATGTGACAGGAATTTCTCCCACTTCTGGAAAAGAAAATTGAAAATTCTCCATAAACCAGGCCTGAGCACAGCCAGTAATAAATAGGAATACAAATATTGGGGAAATCCTGGTTTCTTGGAAGTCAAGGGAAAATGTCATTGACTTCAGGTTAGACATAATTCCACTACTGTGACTCAGATGAAAAGTTTATATCCTGCTCATATTTTCAGCTCATTTATGAAGGAGTCTATCTGAGGAGGGAGGAAAAGGAAGCTACAGTTTTACATGCAAACTCCATGTCTGCATTTTTTTTAATTTGCTATTGATAGGAACATCAAAAGTAGTAATGAGAATAACAGCTACTGATATTTCCATCATTATTATTTGTCAATACAAGTACATATAGATAACAACTTTGGGACCTTCATTAACATAAAAATTGATGTATCTTCCTCTATTTCATACACAAGGTTTCATATCAAAGAATTTCAGCACATGCAGCTAACCTGGGAAACATTTCTTCAAAAAAGACAAAAGTGGGACAAGAGACGAGCATGTGGAAGTTTGTCTGATGATTTATGTCATAAGAAAACATTTCCTCAGATTTGAACAAATATAGTCATATTTAAAGAAAAAAAAAAATCTCCTAACAGCTATTTCCAGTAACTATAAAAGCCAGTAGTTTAATTCAGCTGCCTTTAGTCAGTAAGGCATTAAACTGGAGGGAGGCAAAGAATAAAAGGAGACATTAATTCAAATGTTCATTTGTAATTTAACTGCCTGTGAAATGTTCCCTTTACTGAATGGAAATGAGGTTGCTTGGCCCACAAGCCATCCTTTTACAGTCTTGCAGGGTTCATTTCAGAAGCCTTAATAAAAAAATATAGAAAATACAATTTTCAAGTGTAGATGGAAATCCCCGATGTACTTGATCTGACAGCTATTGTATTACAAAACAGAATTACTATTTTAAAGCCTTGGGCACTGGCAGGCCTGTGATGTAGGCTATATAAAACCACACTGACAGACAGTCATTACCAAGGTTAATCTCTGAGAATTAGGACAAGGCAGTCAGTTTTAATATGTCAGAATCAGCTAGGAGCCCATCTGTATCTACTATGGTCCTTACTTACTTGTTAAATCCAGTTATATAAAAAGATTTTAAGTTGAAAGTTGTAGGTAGTTTTTCAATGAAGACACAATAAGGTAGCAATTGCCCCTTATTATTAATTAAATGTAGGCCCTCAAGGCACATCTGCACTAAAGACCTTGTGGAAATAAGCATACTTTATCTGATACCCAGCAGTTTTGACACATCATGGGTGTAATTATGGGGATATTCCTTTTCCTACTGATATTTTTATTGGCTTCAGTGGGAATGAGGAAATGACTTAGAGCCTTTTGCTGTGGATTGGTGTGATTCCCAGCAGCAAGACATCAGTGTAACTGGCAGGAGACCTTGTTTCAGATTACAGTGAGATACCTTGAATGTAACAATCTTGTGCCAGAAATGATAATAAACAAGACATTTTTGTCAAAATCACACTGAGGGAAAACTTTTCTAGATACAAATTAAATGGTTAAAGCAAATCAACAAACCCAACACCACCAAAGAATTTGAAACAGTCGCGGAAGAAGGAAACATTTGCAAAGGACAGGAGGGTTTTGCAGGAGACAAATGGCCTGGCTCACCCTTCCCTGAAACTGTATTGAAGATTTTCTATGATGCCCTGTGGTGAGAGAAGGAAGCAGCCCTGTGTTATTGCTAATATGCATATGATTATACAGTTAATATTTATACTTGCATCTATTACAACAGGTTTGTGCAAATCATGTCATGTGCACATGGGGGGTGTGTAAATATGTACAACATGAATGAACTCATTCAGCCAGTTACATGAACAGCTGTATGGACTCTTATGCATATGCAGGCACTACAGGACAGAGTGACGGCAGGTGCAGAGACTCTGTCTCCCTGTGTCTTGCAAAATCCCCCTCAGGCTTTCAGCATAATGCTCAGGGGTAACATCTTCATGTCAAGGGTTGGCTCGGCACCCCTGTCAAGCCAGGACACAGAAGAGCAGATGGATTAATAATTGGTGGGAGATAAGGTTACTACTAGGTAACCAGTTTGAACTGTGCCATGAATATACCTTTCACAATAAAAATGCATCTGTAAGATACCAAGGTGAAGCAATAATTAAAGGACAGTAATTATTAAAATGATATGACAGTTGCACAAATGCTGAAACAATGAGTGTTAGTATTTAGGCAGTTTGTACTTACTGGCATCATCCATAAATTCAAATTCACCTCCTAATTCAGCACTGGTTAGGTGGTACTGGTCAGGATCAGTCAGGGCACTCAGCAGAATCAGCAATACCACTGAATTGATAATCTACAGAGAAGAAAAGGGTCAGGCTGTGAAAGTAATCCATAAAAAACCTCTGGGCAGCATATACCCACCTCAGTCCATACCAACTATAGCAGATGCTGTTTTCCAACTGTACAACTGTAGTATTTAACTAACACTGCAATTAGTTTATCTGAGCAACTGTAAACAGGACCTAATTCTTCCCCAGGTGGCAGCAGGAAAATGAAACAAAACCTGGATCATCCCTTTTTGTTCTGACTCTCTCCCACACCATCAGAGAAGTTACCACTGCTCTTTCAGATTATAAAACATGTTAGCACATCCACTTCAGTTTGTTCTGTTGAAAAAATATCAATTAAAACCAATAATTTTGAGATGATTACAAACGAGTGCTGTAGTCAAGGATTATTAGCATGGTAGATCTGTAATTGGAGACAGGCCATGTTGAATTGTTAGATGATCAAAGAGCTGATTTGCTGGATGAGGCTGAATTTTAAGAGGCCATGAGTGATGCGGTAATTCACACAAGCTGCTAAATAGGAGGCCTTGGGGGGACAGGATTAGGTGGCAGTGTGAGCCCAATGTCTGATGCACATGTTCCTGTGTCATATGGCCCAGAGAGATATCCACATACACTGATGCCTTGGCTATGAAATGCATTAAGTGAATTAAATGCAAGAATATAGTATCAAGTGATTCAGTAGAAGCACATTGTGAAGTATCAGTGATGAGAGGAATGAAGAGGTAGCCAAGAGCTTTATTTTAAAAGTAATCTGAACAAAATGCTAATATCACTTTGAAGTGAAGAGGGCTAATTGCAGAAAGGAAGATTGCTTAGCATGAAATAATGCAACTAGGAAGATAACTGATGAATGGGAAAATGGAGAGAAGAAAGCTGATAGTAGGGTATTCTGGGAAAGATGGATTTTTATTGTTTTGGTTCTCACTTCAAAGTCATTCTAATCTGATCACAGGTTGTTAACAGCAACAAAAAGGTGTAGGAACACAGGCTATTATAAGACATAACAGGCTAGAGAATTTCTTGGATAAGATAAATTCTTTTTGATACGCAAATTCCATCAAGTTTAGCTGATACCAGATCTGTTAGCAAAGATCTTTGAAAAAGGTTGAGAGTTCACAAGATAGGGAAAGAATAAGCCCAGTTTATGCCTTTTCAAAGCAAGGAGGCCATGTATAGAATTTCTAGATAGACTGTGAGATTTAAGAATAAAATAAACCCAAGAACGGACAATCAAGCAGTCTCCCCATTAGCACTTCAAATTTGTATGGTCATAACCAACAATCACCATGGGCTTGTCAAGGACAAACCATAATTACTTCATCTTATTTTTCTTCTCTGGCAGGCTAAGAAACCTTATGGACAGGGAAAAAGCAGTAGATATCATCTCTTTGCATCTCAGCAAGCCTTTTGACATTATGAGAGTCTAATAAATACTCTAGGAAAACCCAGTTTGGTTGGAAGTGCAGGAAGGTGAGTGCACAGCTAGCTGGATAGATGCAATGAAAGAATAGTCGTCAAAGATTCACAGCCAGCATGGAAGATATATTGATTAAGGTTTCCTGGTATCATTGAAAGACTTGGTATTCTAGTCACTTGTGACCTGTACCTTTCCTCAAGTTGCAGACAATGCCAAGCTGTGAGTACTTCAGGAGATAAGATTAAAAAGATTTGGACAAACTATGACAGAATTCAGACAATAGAGCACAATTCAGTACCAACAAGCATAGAGCATCACATTTGTAACACACTGCAGCAGAACAAGAGGAGAAATAACAGAGTAGGTAACAGTTCCTCAGAAAGGAATCTGAGTATGACAGTGAATAAACAGGACATGACTCAGAAAGGTGAGGAAAAGAAGGAGGTAATAGACTTTTCTCCAGATCCACTGGGAGATGAGTAAAGTAAGAGATCTAAATTATAGCGAAAGTAAATTTAGATTAGGCAACTTGCTGAACAATATCAACAATCAGACAGCAGAAGAGATTGTCTGGAGGGAGTTAGAGACCTTCACTACTGCATTTTTTTGTAGAACAGTTATACAGCTTTGTGTTGGGAAAGCTGTAGCCATAGATGGTCTTGATTTGTCTTTGAAGACAGATCAAATGACCGTCAAGATTCAGAGTTACATTCTATAAATTCTACTAATTTTTAACACTATGTATAACTTTATATTGCAATCCAGTTCTTGCTTTATACTCCTTTGTGGAAAGTCAGAGGACATATGCCAGTAATAAAGATGTTACTTAAGAAGAGTACTCAGAATAACCAAGCAATCAGAAACTATATATAGTGTTGCTATTTTAAAGACATACAAGTTTACTCTTTTGTACAGATGTAGTCAGGAAGATTCATAAAATACTGACCTAGGCACTCTAGGTACTTCTCCATACGGATATGTGCAGATTCAGATTACGTGTTTGTCAGCATTGCCTTTAATTCTCTGTATAAGGTACAGATTGGGTTTGTCTGATCTGAAGTCTGCTGCGGTCAGTAGGAATCTCTTTAATGATATTTAGTGCATCACTTTTCTGTTCTATCAGGTTGTTCTCTTGTGATCCTCATAATGAGCTCTGAGCACCTTCTAACTATGCTGTCAGCAGTGCAAGTGAAATACACTATGTGTTTATTTGCTCACTCTCTTTCTCCAAGAAGAAATGTGTGCATAGTTCAGTGTATTATATTTGTTAGGGTTTTTCTATTGTTTTGAAAGAGATGCAACTGTCAATTTTTGAGAAATGCTTTAATGTATGAATTTAATATGCCTAAAAACTTATGGATGTAGCATCTTCCAAGGACACATAATCAAGGACAAGAGCATGAAGTGATTCCCTGTTGATATATGCAGTTGGTATGAGACTTAAAATCTGTGTTCTAGGAAAAGCAAAGGAGATTTTTCTGCTCTCTCAGTAAGGCCAAGATTTCCTTCAAGATGTTTTACATTCCTTCAGCAACAATGTAATAACTAATTAACAATGCTTAGAAAGCATTTTCATTTTGCAAAGTTTCAGCAAGCAGCTAAGGCATATACCTTCCCAATGAGATGTATCATCCTCCTTTTATGGATGGAGAAACAAAAACATGTTCAAGAACAGGCAGCAGCATAGAGTTCAGCAGTAAGAATAAAAATGCAAGATTTTTCACTGTCAAGTCAGAACTGACCACTGGCTCTTGTTGCTGGTTACAGCCACAGTGCTACCCAGAGTTATAGGAGAGGAGCTCTGGGGGCATTAAGAGGCCTTACTGGACCTGCCCAGCCCCACATAAGGCCTCCCCACATGCCTGCCCATGGCCCAGGACCCCATTTCAGCTCAGCCTGGGGTGATCGGTCCCTGCTCCAGTGGCACTACAGGCATGCTTCCTGGATGGACCCCTTAAATGCATGTTGTAGATTGTCTCCAGTTATATCCCTGGTTTCATCCCTTTTGCTGTTGGTTGGGCCTCTTGGATGGCCTCTGGCCCTGGTTCATCCCCTACCATGTTGGGAGCTGTTGATGGATTCCATTATCAGCCCCCAGTTCTGCACCTGGGCTCAGCCCCTGCAGGATGGTGCCTAGAGTGCCCTAATGAGAGACTGGACAAAGGTCCCCCAGAAAGCCCTAGAAATTCCCAACTGTCCTCTTATTCTGATACAGAAATAAAACAATAATTTAAAAAATCCCAAAATCTTGCTTCTCTTGCAAATAGATGGAACACATCCACCTTCTCATTAGTGTAGAGGAGGAAGATAACTGCTTTGTAGGCACCCCAGTATGTATCATGAAAAGGGGAAAACAGGACATATTATGGAGGAGATAGCTTGTCCAAATATTGGAGCATTATTGGATTTTCTGCTCTGGGTTTACAAAACACAAATTCAGATTTGAGTAGAAGATATTTTAAACAACAACAACTGTGTGAGAGGAAGTGCATGCAGGCATGAGGGAAAAAGGCAACACGTGCTGAGGCTGGGACCGGCACCGCCAGTCACTGCTGCTGCTTCCATCTGTACCGCGATAAAACCCAGCACCTTATGTACAGTGTGAAGCAGCTCTTCTAGAGGGAATGGGCAGTGTTTAGGATGTGAGAAAGCAACCTCATTTCTTCCACAGACAGCATTCAGCATTTATAAACTGTATAATGCACTAAAAATTCAGAACTCTGCCACCAATGAGTGAGTTGCCTTCTTTTCCATGTCATTTGTTCCAGAGATCCGCAGTGAACTGTGGTGACCCATGGAGATAAAATGCAGGGGAGGAGAGGTGTCAGGAACCACTGCATCAACAGGTGATGAGAAAATCTATAATTTCAGACCCTCCACAGAAGTGCAGGTACATGGTATCTATCCCAGCTTATCAAAATAAAATTAGTTCCAGTAGCTCGTAAGAGCATGCTATTAACACAGATCTTGTGCTGATTCCTAACTCAAGCAGACAGTTGAAATGCTCAAGCCATTAACTTTCATAGATGTCTGTAAATACTAAAAGAATTATCAGGAGTTATAATGGCTTAATTTTTCTTCTTCCTCCAGCTCACAGTCAAAAGTTGAAACAAAATTGCTCTGATAAAGGAGTTTAGAAGAAGAAATATTAAGCTTACTTTAACCCAATACACTGCATTAAAAACACACAGATGTTTCTGTTGAAGTCCACAGGGTCCCCTCTACAAATATTCTCCTACAGTTCCCCCAAGACTTCCTAATGTGGTGAAGAAATCCTTTTATTTATAGGAAAAAGTAAGGAAAAACCCTCTATTTTTATTTATATTGATGGTTCAGTTTATAACGATCCACATATGTAACGGTCTGGATGCTGTCTATGCAGTGAAAGGTGTACATACACTTTTAATTCTGGGTCTGTTTTCAGCCTCACTGAACTCGAGAGATCCACTGAAGCACACTCCTTAAATCTCTGTGTTGGTGGAGAACTAACTCACCACCTGTGCTCCCTGTCGGGGGCCCTTTACAGTTCCAGAGAGCTGGTTTAATGACAATCAACACCCCAATAGTATGTAGTTACAAAAACCC